CACACACACTGCACTGTATGGTATCGCGTCTCGCACAACGAAACTATATCACACGGAAACCAATGGGGATTTCAGCAAAAATTTATTTTCGGCCCGTTTAACCGAGGCAATGGGCATCTTCGTTCATTAACTATTGATCGTTAGGCGGGCATTGCTACAATCACGTACCCAATTTCAACTAATCAGATGACAAGAATTATTCAGCATACTAAAGAGAGGTATATAATTGTCACTATACGCTAGCATTTACACCCCGTCCACCTCAGAGCTGACTTCATAACATGGTCATGAATTTCGGGAAACCATCTATAAACGTTGACACTGACCTCACATGAGTTTTCAGAAACAAAATATGGTGTAGTAGTTCATTCACTTTGACTCTCATTTCATTCGTTAAGGGTTTGTATCTCATCTCAGAATAAATGTCCTTTAGCAACAAATAAATCCACATCTGCCAGTACCAAGCCAGGTGTATAAAGGAACTTGATAATTGCAGGGGTAATGATAATTCGAGGGCCTGAAATAGCACGAGGAAGATCAGTTTTAATGCTGCTGGGGGCTATTCTGTGGGTAAATATGATTCAATCATAATTCCTTTTTTTTAACATGATTATGATCACTTTACCTTCACATGATGGTCTTTGATGATTCCATGCTCCATAATTCATACACCTTAAAATGCTTTCTCCAGATAGTGTATAGCCCTCCTGACAGGTGAAATGAAGAATAGCATCGACAGAGTAAGTTGTTCTATCATTCGGTAAACGATAACCACGCAAAGGTTCACCTGGGTCACCACAGGCAGGAATTCCTTGAACATATATAAGACACAATCTTATACTTATCACTGAAACATCTATTCTGATAATTAATTTATCCGTAATATTCTATCCATTCCTTCATTCACGTAAATAATGTACATGATGATATCATCTACTCTTAAACAATATACAATACTTTGATCGCTCAAATATTGTCAATCACCTCAGCTATAATTCTTGTCATTTGTTCAAAAAAGCCGCCTTACATAGTCATTTGTATGTTTGTACAACCCCATGACCCTATAACAGATATTCAAAAAGTATATTTCACATTTTCTCACCAATTTGGCATAGAGTCCGCGTAAGGTCTGAACAAGGTACGTCATTCCATCGGTACTGAACAACCCTTCTCATTCTACGCAGTCTCGGAATTCGTATTAGGTTCGCCCTCGTACCATCCCTCATAGTTCATTCGAGTTTCTGAAGAAAGAGATGAATCATGGTATGATGAATATGATGTCCTTCTATACTTTAGGAAGTTGCTCCGATTTCTACTTCCATTAGAAAGCCTTAATATAACAATACAAGCTTCAATATGAATTATTTTCGGGATTTTTGGTGTCATATGAAATTTGAGTTTATGAGCTTTCCATACAAAAAATGTTCCCCCAGAATCTATATATTATTTATTCGGCAGCCATTTCAAAAGTTTATAGTTTTTTTGGGAACGCACTGTAGAGTGTGTACATTTTGGGAATTTTGTTTCAATTGCATAGGTCCAGTTGGATGTGTAGTTTAAAATCGTGTATTCCTACAAAACTGTTTAACGTATTTTGTATATGTTATTGTACTATTTTTATATTTTCATTGTCTCCAAGATTTTACTTCTCAATTCATGTAATTTCAAAGTAGCAAATGCAGGTAAAATATATAAACTTGTTGACACCTGGGCCCCGTCTTACAAAGAGTTGATACCGATCGCAACTTATTTGCGATTAATATTAATCGCAACTATTAGGCTAGGAATATTGTGTTTTGAGGTCAAACAAATTGCAATAAAATATTTTTCACTGCAATGCATTTTAGTAAGTCTCCACAATGACATACTAAAAGTCCCTAATTTGCATAAATCCAATATGGCCGCTATTTCGAGGTTTTTCTCATAAATTTTGTCATATTTTTCAACTTGTATAGGATGTTGTGGTACTAAAGGAGTAGGAAAAGTGATCTGCTGTACATTTTGTATCAACTAAAATACCCATATAATACAGGTACATCACACACCTGAAACAAATCCCCCCGCACACCCACACTCACACAATCCAACTTGTAATTTATGCTCAATTTATCACCTCAGCAGATGATGTTATTTCATTATGTACTAGACAAATATCATGTCATTTTAATTATATTGAAAAAACTAAATTAAAATTATTCAGAAAAACTGGCCCTTATGAGTATCCGTACAAACACAAGAGCTGTTGTTAGGGATATAAGGGGTACAGCCTGTACCTTACATTATCCGTGTAGTGGACTAATTGTGTCTAATTTCCATAAATCCAAAATGGCCGTCAATTTTAGGGTTTCTCCTAGATTTGGTCACAATACCTTTTAGCATACTTTTAGTGGACTTTCAAAGTCTAAAATGTTTCTTCCAAGAAATTTTCTGTTTGCATAAGGTTTCATATGCCCGGTTGAGTGCTTTAATTTGCTTGAATTCAAAATGGCTGCTAAATATTGTTAAACATTTTTGTAGAGAATTTATTATAATTATATTTTTTGTCCTATGTACATTCAGACTTATTGCAACAACGTACACTTATATATGTTGTACACATATTTTTATATTTCAAATGTTTCATAATTAGGTTTTTTCATTTGCATATACACATACATTTTATTTAGTGGGTTAATTTGCATACATTTTGTGTTGATTCTCACATTACAATGCATTTCGAAGCAGCTATGTCTATGTTGGTTTACAATCCCAGTGCAGTTGTTATTACAGGACGCAGGTCTTGAGCCCTACAGTTAAGTATACATATTTTAATTCGATTAGAGTTGGTAGTCTCCAACAAACAAACATGTATGTGGCATGCTGATCAGTAGTATCATCAAGTTCTAAGTAGGTCTATAATGCTGGTGAGTTGCTACAACTAGTGCCACGACAATCAGTGCAGGCTGTTGAACATTGGAGGCCATACTTCCGGCACGTGCATTTCTTGGCTGCACAATCTTTCTTGCATCCACATCTGATGACCTTAAGGTGTTATGCGGATGCTGGCTGTTTTATCAGTTTTTATTGGAAGATACTTCCCATCCATGACCTGCCAACTCAGTTTCCCAATGTCAGGCTGTCTGCCATTCCTTTTCATTCTAATATATGATAGTACACACGCAGATTGTGGAACTTTCCTGCTGCTGAAGTTGGTTGCAAAGTCTTTGCTTCTAAGGCAGACAAGATTGGTGACACCTTTACACAATTTTCTATTGAGTCACCACCATACAGGCATAAGAGTGCCTTCTCTCCAGCTGGAATAATGGCCTCCTTCAGGTCTGATGCCGGCTGACTAAATACCATGGCAAGCTCACAGAAGTCGTCATTCTTCATGATTTTCTTCAGTGCTACGCCTTCCCCTAGTCCAAATATGCGAGACGTTGTGTCGCAGTCCAGAAGCACATGGCAAATAGAAAGTATAGTCAAACACAACTTCCTAGAGTTTCCTTCAGCTGTTTCATATTCCATGTTCGGTTCTTCTTGGAGTTACCTTGGGCTCAGGTGCAAAAAAAGAAGTCCTTTGCATTCAGATCAGCGTAGATGATCAGCAAGATGAGAAGGTTTGTGTCATCACCGACAAGAACTGTTGCTTAAAACTTCTGCTGCATCACAATTAATTCCAGGAATCTGCTCTTCCTCAATTGCTACATCACAATGAAGATCAGGAAGATGGTGTACGTTAGTAGTTGTTCGAAAGAGAACTTAAGTGGGCTGCTCTCCTAAATTAGCTAATCCACATGGAACACCTGGGTGCTGAACAACCTTTGGGCATTCCTATAGTGATCACTATATAGGAGCTTCCGGAGGTTGTTTGTACTCGTTGGCAGATGTACATTATACAAGTCTGGTATCAGCATGGTATTTAGAGCAGCGTCAACAAGTAAATGGCCCCGCACATGCAGCTCTAGAAATCATCGCCTTTCCACCCAGCATATATGGCATACACTACTTCAAGAAGTTCCGGGGGTCCTGAGCCGTCATCAAATGCCTTGCAGAACGATCTGCTTCAAGTCACTGTCACTTGGCTGGCTCCTGATTATTGTGAGTGCCTCCACCATAGCAGCTTAAAGACCTTGACCGGAGCGTAAACAACCATACATCCACAGACGGCTAATGAAACACAAAATACAAATACAAGAAAGAAAAAATTAAATACCCTTTCATTACTGAGAAAAAATGAAAATTACAGTACAACTGCCGCCCCTCCCAAATTCGCCTCGGTCAAGAGCCCCCGCGCCGCACGGACTTGGGTGACGTCATTTCGTGTAGACTCGAATTGTTTGCTGTAATTCTTCGCCGCGCGATGTTCGAGATCTACATTGATTTTGCGTAGGCTACCGTGAATCCTTTCTGCTTTTTATCGATTGAAGTTTGAGAAGTTTTGAGAAGTCTTTTCTAAAGAGAATGGCTACCCCAGTCGTCAGGGCAGATGCACAAGATGATTTAGTTATGGAATTTGAGTGTGAGGAGGATGGCAGTTGCGGGGAAAGCGGTGAAAATGACAGTGTCAGTGGTAGTAGTGACAGTCCGGACAGTACTGGCAGCAGCAGTGATACCGACAGCGATGCAAGTGATGCAGACGCCGGAGAACACGGGCGTATCGTCGAGTGGGAGTATATGAGCCTTTACCTCGTGGTGAACCTGGGCAAAATGTTGGCGATGCTGGAAGGGCCAACAACGCAAATCGGCTTCATGATGAAAATGTCGAGGATTGGTAATTAAGACTTATAAGCTTATTGAATTTGTTGTGCATTCTAAATATTTATTCCCCCCCCAAAAAAAATTGAAATCAAATACCGTAGATCTCTAGAGTCGGTCATAAATGGCATGTCTAATTCTAAAGTTAACTTGTTAAAATGATTCTCTAGATCTATGTCTGCGCACCTAAAATTCGACCTCGATTTCATTACACAGTAAGATATTATTTTTAGAATCATCATTGTTATTCCGTTCTTCATATTCTAATGATTACTGAAACAAAAAAACTCGACAAATTATTCACAAGAACAATTTTTTTTAACGAATTTCAGACGGGCTCGTCATTTTGTGTAGCAAAACTGAAAAGTGCCCATATCTGCGCACTCACTATTTTGCACGCAATTCAATCAAGCACAGTGAAGTTTCATACCAGGGACAACCCCCTGTTCAGACTTTTCTTTTTTGACAATGATTGAAATTTTCAGGGTGGCAAATGAAACTTGCTAAAACTCATTTTTAATCTTCCAATTATTTTCACAAATTTTGGTATCTAAATGAATTGTTGAGGTTAAGATTGAAAATTGGTGTCAGTTTGATGTTTTGTTCTATAAATATCGCGCATTTACGTGGGTGCGCAGACATAGGCACTGCCTTGGGCACTCTTACCATACTACGACTACGAGAACGATGTCATTTTTATATTTATCAGGAAGCTGTAATAAAATATTTATAAAATTATAGTAGGCGTATTGATTTTTGTTTGAATCTTTCTGTATTTCAAGGTGTACATGTGGAAGATGTCGTGTGCCTCCATCTTTCAATGAAGGTGATTGTGTCTGTTGTCAGGAAATTGCAGAGGTCAAGGCAGAGGCTGATCGACAGGGTTCAAGTTGTCTGGTGGATTCTGAGGAGTTTGAGCCGCCATCCTAAATGCGACAACATTGTACATCGGATGGATGGAGTACACAGATAGGTGGCGCCGAGCAGCCAAAGCATTTGGGGACAGGAACAATGAGTAAGTTATGTTTCTCCTTTTCATCATTTTGGCAAGGGCTAAAAAATAAATGGATTGATTTTGAAAGTTTAGGGTGAAACTTTTCAAAACGAATTGAGTCACCGCAAGATGAATTACTAGTTTTGACCAAATTCTTGCCTGGTGACCACTGGTGTACTAGCTGCCTTATCTGCAGGTGCTCCGGGGCACTTTTTCAGGAAATGTATACAAATAGGCAAGAATGACCACCGGTTTGTGAGTTTTAGCATGTTACCCCCCCCCCCCCCAATAATCTGTAGTTATGAAACACAAACTTTATATGCGATTTTGAATGTTGCCCCCCACCGCCCGACAAACAATGACTAACCCTTGGTCATTTTAGTTTTTTTTAATCATTTTATTTTCTGAATTAATTAATAAAGAATTAATATTTTGACATCAAATCATCTATCCTAAGAAAAATAATGAATTTTTTTATTGCTTTTTATTTTACAGAAAATACAGGTATGTGGCCTACAGGAAAGTCGTGAGATGGTGTTGGGGCTGGCTCGGGAAGGACATCAGGGTGCAACTGCCAGCATGTGTCCATGCCTCAATAATGGAAGCGTATCCTGATGGACGTGGTCAGTACAAAGGGACCATCCTGCGTCGGTTGAGATGAGGATGTAACATCAACTATTGTCTTGCGAACTTTGAATGACTGTCATCTTCTATGCGATTGTCAGCCATCTTCTGTACGTTATTTGTGATCATCGGCTTTCATCTTCATATTCATCACAAATACTATTGTTTGAACTTCTCATGATGGTATGGTTGCTATGAACTTTGATCTCGACATTTGATTCTAATTTCCAAGAGCTGATATTCGAACTTTTGCAAAACTGTGATCAAGCAACGATTTCTTATGAGGAAGAATGTTGAAATCTATATAAACAAGCAACAACAAAAAAAAAAAAAAAAAACACAACATGCCTTGTTCCTTCTCTTTTGTTATACACCCTGCAATGTAATTTGTTTTAATAATTTGAGCATTTCATATACAGTCAACCTGCCGAGTCAGAAAAGGGGAGAGAAAGAGAAAATGAAATTGAAAGAGAAAACGAAATTGAGAGAAAGAGAAATAACAGCATGGACACAACAAAGATAGACAGAGGAATAATGAGAGTAAGAGAAGGGAATTGCGGTTGACGAAATTTCAAATGTGTGATAAATGGTAAGCATCGTAATAAATCCAGGAAATCCTTTATTTTGCATCAAATCTATCCTCCCAAAAAGGATAAACCTTAACCCTATCTCCCACTCTGTCCCTCTTCCTCTCTCTTTCTCCTCTTCCACCCTCCACATTCCCATCTCTCTATCCCACTTCCTCTCTCTGTTTCCTCTTCCATATTTCCATCTCTCACTCTGTCCCTCCTCTCTTTCTCCTCCTCCACATTCCCATCTCTCACTCTGTCCCTCCTTCTCCTCTTCCACCCTCCACATTCCTATCTCTCACTCTGTCCCTCCTTCTCCTCTCCACCCTCCACATTCCCATCTCTCACTCTGTCCCTCCTTCTCCTCTTCCTCCACATTCCCATCTCTCACTCTCTCCCTCTGCCTCTCTTTTCCTCCTCCACCCTCCACATTCCCATCTCTCACTCTTTCACAATCTCTCTTTCTCCTCTTCCATCCATCACATTCCCATCTCTCACTCTTTCACAATCTCTCTTTCTCCTCTTCCATCCATCACATTCACATCTCTCACTCTATCCCTATTGGTATCTATCTTTATCCCCTCTTTCTTCACATTCTCTATCTCACTCTCATTTTCACAGCAATTTCCATCTTTAAATTATGAAGCTTCCTACAAGACACCTATAATAGAAATAAACAAACAAGATTTGTGTTCCTTTAGATGAATTTTTGTTTACCTTTGCTCAAAATATTCTCAGAACATCCCATTGACGGTTTTTCCCTCCAATCATTTTCTTCTCTGTTTGTGCAATATATTTCAAAATGATGCACCATTGGAACAAAAACTTTGATGCAACATGTACATTACATTCATCCTTATTTTATGTAAAGTTTACAGGATAGATGACTATTTTTATTATATCTGCAAGGATGATTATTTTTCAATCTTTTATAACCAGGTTTTAGGACAAACAGGAAACCGCTGTTAGGAAAAAAAGTATGGATGCGATGAAGTATCATCACAATGTTTCCTCTTCTGTGATAATATGGCATGATCTTTAAAACTACTAACTTTGAAAATGAATAACACAATTCACCTCGGCAGAAAAGGGAAAAAATCAAAAACAAAAAATAAAGTCATATCTGGTGCAATACATCAAATGGTTCTTGAATAAGAACAGTTTAGATGAAGAAAAAAAAATGCATTTTTTAATTTTTTATTTTTTGCAAATAAGAAGCAAAAAGCATTGGCCAAGATGAAGGACTGTGAGAAAAATCAGATTATATTTGGTGCCAAATTCATGATCAACAGTGATTTACTTAGTGTTTATGAAAATCTAGTGCATATGCTTCAGAAATTGTTTTTAATTGAACTAAAAATGTAAGTTTTACAAATTTAATAAGTATTTTACCTATTAAAACCAATGACTATTGATGTGTACCATGGAGTTTGGCTTGTGTAAGTATGTACAAGCTTACAGACAAGTTTCTAGTGCTTTACACTCACATAGAATCGGAATCCACTACTCACTTGCATAGAGTACTTCCATGTTACTCTCCATAATTATACTGGCATAAACATAATTTAGGGTCTATGAAAAACATGTCTTGTACTGAAATAAAACAATCAGTGGTTAATGTTCAGGTAGCTGACACATTCATCATAGTTTCTATCACCAAAAGAACTAGTTTCTATCGCCAAAGCGATGATGTTGTTCAAAAGCTTGCACGGCTTCTCCATTGTCGGGGTGATGATGAGAGGCACTCCGTGCTGGTTGAGGCTGTAGCTCCTCCATGTTGTCTCTGAGCTGCTCCCTGTTTTCCACCAGTTCTACGACAACTCTCATCAGGGCTTTCACATAACCTACAAGATAAAATCCAAAACTATACCTTGAAAATTCATCTGTACGGTGTTAAAAAAATACATTTTGATAAGAGGAAAAAAGGAAAAGAGAAAAATAAGAACATAAGAAGAGAAAACTCTTTTTCTCACAAATATTGGATTACCTAATTTTACACACTATTTGTAGGTGGATGACCAATCAAATACCAATGGCATGCACATGTTCTTTGCTGAATAGGTAGTTCACTGACTGGGGGACTGACATATATGCCTGTTTCTGCTTGCTATTCAATATTACACATTTGCAGAAAGTAACCCAATACATGTTTATAATTATCAATTTAATCAACAGATTAAATTAAGGGCATATAGGCCACAAGAATCTACTAATTTGAATTCTATTGATCATGAAGTAATAAAAGATTTCTATATATAATTGAGCTCTTTTGTTGAATATTGATATCATTCACTAGACATGTGGCTACTTACCACATGTGCCAGCTGTCAGCACTCTCTCCACTGTGTGGCCTCCTTCCTTCGAGCGTGGATACTTCAACCTGTACACTGGGTTCCCTTCGGCATCAACAGCCTGGGCTCTATCACAATTTTCGTTCCAATGTAGGACAGCCAAATATAATCTGAAAAGAGTGAAGTTAAAAATAAAGGTCACATGAATAACATACTTGCGACAGTTGATTTCATCTTTTTGGTAATGTAATGTCTATCATCATAAACTCGTTACCTACTCTCCAATAAGTGAAGGCAAGAGTTAGTGTAAAAAGCATGTGTTACAAATAATAAATAAAAAAAAAAAAAAAAAAAAAAAAAAAATATGAAATAGAAAGAACCTGGCTATAACAAAAAGAAAATAATAACTTTAAAACATAAAACCAATAAAATCAAATTCAAAAGAAGAAGAAGAAACAACACTGCCCTCTGTGACGTTCTTGTTAAATTTATATTAGGGGAGCATAATGTTGATGAATTAATTGCCTAATTTACCTGCACTTCATCCCTTGATATGAGTATACAAGCAACTTGGGGCAAAAGTGAAGGAGGATGTTGTGGAATGATTCAACCTTGCTGGTTTGGGCATGTGGGGACATCATCCCAATGTCGTTCATCAGTCTGGTCCTCAGCCATTCCTCTCGAAGCTTGTCGTACACCTTTGTACCTGTAATAAGATTGGGAATATAATATATGCGGTAAAGGTGAAGGAGAGTTCATTTAAATAGTTAGCAATCATGATCTCGGCATTTCCAAGCATCTCATCCCTTCGCCAAAACTATTTTTTCATTCCACAATGAATATTAATCATTTAGAAAATTGCACAAAAAAAAATATGAATGTCATGATCAAAATTGAACTAAATTAAACTTGAATGTACATTATTAAAAATAAATGTAAATATTTTGCTCGCATTTTGACAAACATCTTCAAAGTATTATTACACCGTATGCATATAAATAAGGATTTTACCCACATCCAAACAAAAAGAACAACTTGAGGCTAGTTTCATAGAAAGAAAAAAAAGCAAAGTTAATCTGTAGTCGGATAAAAAAAAAGAAGCAAAGTCAACAACAAATGACCGATGATTTTGTTTTAATAATCATCCCTGGCAACAACACTAGATCTAGACTCTAGACCATTTTGATTTGAATAAAAACAGTGTTTTCATCACGAGAAAGTATCAAGAAGAGGCACCCATGTGATTTCTGACATCAATTCAAAATAATTTAGTTCCTGGCTTCACTGTACTGCAGTGCACTGCCACTGGGCGGCACGAGTCCAAGGCCTAGATTCTACCAACTAGGCCTACCTAGTTTTCTTTTTCTTCTTTTTTAGGCCCAATTCTTCTTCAAAATCTCCATTTCATCTTCTTCTTATTTTTCATTGTTTACAGACTATATTCTAGACAATAAAACAATGTAGATCTAAATAATTCTTTGATTTAATGCTGGTAAACCATGCAAAAGGAAAGGCTATCTGTGCGATAAAAGCGAGCGAAACTTAGTTTTGTTCGAGAAATATTCCACGACCACCAGCATGACACGGCGCGGCAAGTCAGGCCGGGCCGGCCGCGGCCCGAGTGCTCTCGCGAGGCTCAGCGATAGATTGCTGAAATTAGTTGTGCAATCGCAGACCGAGGCAGGCAGCCAGCAGCGCGGGCAAATGATTCGTTTCAATCTAATTTAGTGGAAATTTGGGGTTGATATTCCATATCACGTAGCGTGAAATTAATACAGATATAAAATGTCAACATTCTAATCGTAAAATGTCCAAATACAGCTTCGACATTGATATTTACAACAACAAAAAAAGAGAGAAGAAAACTTCACATACCGACCACCATGCGAAGAACCAGCTGCAATACCGAGTGGCCAAATAACCTACACGTTATGACGTCATCAGAAACGGGTAGTAGAAACGGCCACCGGCTAGCGCAGCCGAAACTAAATCTCCGGGGTGCCCCTCTCAAATCCGTGAATCCTGGGGTTCGGATGCTAAATACTTCTTTCAGAGGCCGTGGAATCTCGAGAAGTTTGCATTTTCATATTCAGTAAATATTCACGAGTCCGTAGGTATATAATTTGTCTATATAATGCTCTGCTCCGGTCAAGGTCTTTAAATATCAAACGTCAAAACAGGTGTATAATTATACCGTTTAGCATGGGCACAAACAAAACACGTAGTAAACACATGCAGGATGGATCACTAGGATTCATGTCAATCATGGGGAGAAACAAAGAAGATGACTGATCAGGGTACTTACCGTTGTTTTTAGTATCTGTATCCTTCCGGATCGCCTTTGAAGGCCTTGGGGACCGCAGAAGTAAAGATGTCTTCAACAACACATCAAGTTCAAATGTTGGATCTTCTGGTCCCGGATTCACAATCGGCTGGTAAACTAGAGGTTGTACAGTTGTATATGGCTTTAAGTATTCAATGTTGATACGTCCAACAGTAGCAAAGTCCTCAGCGGATAGCATTTATCTAGGTAGTACAGGCTTACAGTACTTTATCCCTGGGGTTGGATAGCATTGTGCCCATCTATGGAAAGTACCTGATCCATCAGGAGTGTCGATATTATCTGCAATATACTGAATGCACTCTTGAGAAATTGCCGCACTTCTTTTATATTTCTTAACCACCGGATATTAGAGCATTATAAGCATTGCGCATGCAGTGTGTCGATCAGAAATCGAGATGAGAATTGATGGCTTGCCCAATAGATGCCAGCATCATAATCTACCTTTTGACCAACAACATGTTCCTCAATAGCAGTTGCAGGGAATCTGTGAGAAATGCAGGTAAACGCGTCACTTGTAATTTTTTTCTTTTAGTACCTTGACGTCATTCTTTATACGATGAGGCAGCAGTCTTGATGATCTTCATTTTCTCCTGCTTTGGTGTGTTGTTCTTTGGCTGCTTGCGGAATTCATACAGAATAGCACTAACTGTGCTACGAAATGTAACTACATCATGCTTTCCTTTCAGTTCAGTTTTACAATCCTCTCACCGAAGTACCCCTGTATTTTCTTGTTCATGTATACCCCACTGTCGCATCATGATCTGTATCCAAAAAATAGTCTTGCGTCTTATTAACAACATCAACTACTGTTGTTTGTTCCTCATCATTTTCCTCAAGGGACTTAACTACTTTTAAGAATGCAGTCAATTTCACCTAATGTTTAGGTCGGCCAGTTTTAGCCTTTTTGGAAGTGCTTGTGCTCACAGAGTTTACCATTGGTATTTGTTTTTTTAGTTTTAAAGTTCACCATGCATATATAGTTTATGCTATACTGCATCAACTGCGGGAAGATCATTGACAGATGCAAGTCTTCCAGACACAAATTTGGGACCAAGTATCATTTATTTGTATGCATATTTCTACAACAACTACATTAATAGCACAACCAGTTCTACATCAACAACTAAAGCCCCCTTCATATTAATGTAGCTAGGCTCATACGTAGGCTTGTCTTTTGTAGCACTGCATAGATCAGCGATCAAGAAAGGTGTACATTCTGTGGCGTCATGAAATACAGGCTTAATTTGACCTCTGAATGACTTTAGATGAAGTGGGGATGTAGTGACAAACTTTGATTAGTTATTCTGTCTTAGTTGATTCTGTTATCTTAATTAAAAAAATGTATTGTATTCTGCACATTATAAGTTTTCCATCGATATTATAATTAGAATATTATTGGGTGTTCTACTATAAAGTTTTGCAATGAATGACTATAAATAAGGCATCATGAATATCACATAATAAAAGCTTACGGGTCTAACTTAGTTGAGTATTTGACAAAAATAGTGACTAGAGAGCACACTACCGCACTAATATGGATACTTGTACTGTGATGAGCCATTAGCATGCAATGTATGCTTCTGTTTGTCACCTCTCTAAAATTAAGTAAACTGTTGCACTGAGAACAACTTATAATTACAATGGCCATGAGGATAAAGTAAGGTACAGGCTGTACCCCTAATAGCCCTACCAACAGCTGTTGTGTTTGTACGGATACTCATAAGGGCCAGTTTTTCTGAATATTTTTATTTTAGTTTTTACAATATAATTAAAATGACATGATATTTGTCTAGTACATAATGAAATAAAATGATCTGCTGAGGTGATAAATTAAGCATAAATTACATATTGGATTGTGTGGGTGTGGGTGTGCGGGAGGATTTGTTTCAGGTGTGTGATGTACCCGTAGTATATGGGTATTTTAGTTGATACAAAATGTACAGCAGATCACTTTTCCTACTCCTTTAGTGCCACAACAGCCTATACAAGTTGTAAAATATGATAAAATCTATGTGAAAATCCTTGAAATAGCGGCCATATTGGATTTATGCAAATTAGGGAAACTTCCACTACTTGGATTTTTTGGGACTTTTAGTATGTCATTGTGGGGACCTTACTAAAATGCATTGCAGTGAAAAATATTTTATTGCAATTTGTTTGACGTTAACCTAAAAAAAAGACATAATATTCCTAGCCTATATGAACCTAAGAGATGGAAGACTGCAATTTTGCGATTGATTGGAGGACTTGCGATTGATTTGGATCAATCGTAACTTTTTGTAAGACAGAGCCTTGATGTTGTATGTGTAACACTTTATATACCACACAAAAGACTTCATTTACCCCTAGCCCTAAAACTTTGTTTTATTAAAACATAAGTATTGACCATGTTTAAAGCAAGTTTGATGTTATTACTTTGGAGCAAGTCATAAAATACATTACCAATAGCCACATTTATACAATACAAGTGATCGAAGATGTCATTTTGCTAACAAATTTCACTTTCACTAAACAATTTATTTGTATTATTTCTGGACTGCAACGAATTGCTTTTATTATGCGAAAGATCAATCGGTTTTTTAGACTTTAAAGTGATGAGGTATCTTTTTCTCAGATTCTGAATCAAAATCCTGGATTTAGGTCATGCTGCAATCATAATTATAAACCTTTAGATCAGTTAGGAATCCCATACATTTTATAAGCCAATCGCTTGTCTGATTATCAAGATATTTATGATTGAAAATCGAAATGTCGAAAAACGTTTTCCTAACGGTTTGTATATTAAAATTTTGCAGCCTATTGGGGGAAATTAGTATCATGGTAAAACCGGTCACTAAAAGATGTTTACTTTTTTGCCGCACTTGATGATAATTTTGAAGCGCAATTTGTTTAGGGCTTCAATATAACACCATAGCACAGACACCGATAACACGTAGGGCCATGCATCTCAGATTTAACATTGTTAAACGATGCCTTCAAAATTAATAAATGATAAATTTGATGCTGATTTCAAAACATATAATATCTCTAATCCCATTTCAATTATTGTGTTAAAATAAAAAATAAATTGTAATGGGAAGGTTTATTGTATTATCTTTGAATACAAATGGTGGCAAATGGAATACCGATCAAACTTCTGTTTACAGTTCATATCCTTTGGCTTCTGATATTGTTAGATTTTGTTCCAAAGATAAATGTTTGTCTTCAAATAAACAGATACAAGCTACACTTTACTGTAACTATAGTTTCTGAGTAATCACGTACTATCAGACCAATACCAGGACCGTCCTACGTCTTCGTCATAACCGCCGATCCACCATGCCGTGTTTACGCCTATGTCTCTCAGATGCAGGGCTCGGTCCAGCAATAAAGCATTAGTGCTCTCATCGAGTATTTCAGCCAGAAATCCTCCTCTCCCATTACACTCTTCGGCCCCGTCATCACAGTTCTTCGAAACATCCAGGAATTGGAAACAGGTGCCCATGTATTCTAGTACCATGTTGGATTGGCTGAGTCCGACACTGTGACAAGTTCGATCTAAAGATTGCACACACATAATTCGACAGATGCATGAACTTTCTTTACAAAAAATAAATCATGAAAACAATAAGTTGACCAAACTCATAAAAAGAGTTGCCAATTTATTATCAGCGTCCTTTATAGGATATGTCTGTTTTTAATCAACCTTAATTTCGGCCAGGATCGGAAACGTTTATGCTGTTATGGCATGCACAGTACAGATATGTAAAGTTCCATAATAGTTTTGTTTAATATTTTTTAATTGGAAAATATCACGGGGTCGTTGAATAAAATCTAATAGTGTATCTACAAATGTCTAATTTTGTTAAATATTCAAAACATTCTTTATTGGGATATCTTTATAGCTAGATGAAATATCGTAACAATATCATATTCGTAACAAATTGTAGGCCTGAGAAAATCATTACGAAACAAGAAAATTTCCAAATTTACGAGAGGTTAGGATTCTCCAAAGCTTCCTCCTGTAAAAGTAATGAATCACAATAACTTGAGTGCCGATATTCGTGAAAGTCAATTTCATGCCGCGAGAACGGAGGTCATTATTAAACAAAAGTCATTAGTTCTAGTAAGAGCCAAAGTTGCTTATACTCACTATATTGGCATAGCACACCAATCTCGTCTCCTGGTGACCTAGGACTCCATGCAAATTCACCTGAATTACTCTGATATGATATTTCGATGCAATCTCCCGAGCTTGAATCAGGGTATGCTATCTCCCAAAAGAAGCGATCGATGTATGTGTCATCTGATTAATAAATTTCGATAAACACTGTCAGAACTCTTATAAACTGGCGTTAGAAAACCATTTTTCTCAATTCTCATCGTAGGGGGTGGGAAAATCAGGTATAAAAAGACACTGCATAAGTATCTGCTCATTTTCTCTTGATGTACAAGATTGTGCTATATACATGTACCATACATAGGCTTACACAAACACAATTTCCCCCAAAATGTCAAATATTCTGACGTTGCTTAACCGAATATCAATTATGAATTGTCCATTTCTTTAAAAGTTAAAACAAGTTTTAAAGTTCTAAAATGTGAACTTGCCGAAATTATATGTTTATGATGACAACCATGTTTCTTTTTCCCGTATGTATGTATTACGCAAACGTACCATGTTCCCATTTAGTCTGGATTGAATGAAGAACTTACTTTGTCTCCATTTCCAGTCTAGACCTTCCCTTGCACCGATCCAGACGTTATTGTCAAGGTTTTCTCCGGTTAATTGGGCAATAAAGTTCTGCATGTCAACATCTTTCACTGTGACAAGTAACTCCCCCTTATCATCATAGCAGAAGTTAAATGATGCTTCCCACGTTCTCCGTGTGTCACTTGTACGAAAGCAGGTGAGATTAGTGTAACGTCTAGTATCGGCCGGATCACACTTTCCTTTGAGATACAAAATATATGATCGAATATATGGTTAGAAAAATATTTCCTTAACAAAAAACATCGTACAGAACACAATACCACGGATAAAAATGAGAATCTATGTTTCTCTCTGCTGCACGTTTACAATAGTTTCATGTTTGATAAGTCTATATGTGGAGGTGTAATGGTATAGAGTGGAGAAGTGTGACGTCATCAACAATCTAAAAATAGAATTCCTCAATTTTTTCTTCATTTTCCGAAAGAGCATCAAAAATAATGTCAAAATGTCGAAAACCAATTGAACATGTTAAGTATTGGCTGAGATATGACCATCTGAATAAATATGTTTCATTGACGATCAGCCATTCACAAAGAAAGACGAAAGACCTGATGCATGGCTGCTCTTCTACGAAACGGAGTTAAGTTTTTTGTCAACTCTGTTTGAAGCTACGGCAGGTAGCCAGTGAAAACGAACTCGTTTGATCAAATTATGCAAATGCAAGTATTACAAACAAACAGAACTTTGTTATTCCTGGCTCATTTTTCCTGATTGAGGTGTCATATGAAAGGGCAGAAATATAACTTTCTAGAAATGTGATTTTCTCTTTAAAATTCAGATACCGCCCGCCAAATGACTTTTTGGTTTCCTCTCTTCAAATTACTTTTAATCACTCATGCGTGAAATATGCATCATATGAATTGCATCAAATAAAAGAAGAGGGTCTTAGCTTTCCAAATATGTGCCATATTAATCATAATTGTGGTTAAGTTATGATAAATCATCAATAGTTCTCGTTTTTTTTTGGGGGGGGGGGGAGGGGGGGGGGGGCGCACTGTAGTATAAGAAATTTCACGTCGTAATCTACTGGTGACGTAAAATACCGGCATGTTTGATAACCAGGTATAGTCGCTTTTAAGAAAAATGGGAGAGATGACTTATGTCTCTCCCCGTCACTTTCAGTACATTAGACATGTTATATCATTTTGTATTCGTGTAAATCTTACCCTGCAAATAGATAATCCATGGTCTTATGTATTAACCTAAAATCAATAACTGTGCCGTTTTCTAGATTTCTTGACAAAGTTGATGATATAAGAAGCAGATTGTAGCCTGATATGTCTTAACTCATAATACTGTGTCCCAAAAGACAGGTTAAAGGAAACTAAATTTATTCGACGAAACTGACAATACATATTAGCACGTTGGCCTCGATGTTTACACTTACTTTGACAGACGGGAGGGTCATTCTCCCATGTGCCATCTTGTAGACATCTATTCAAGTTACTTCCAAGCAGAGTGTATTCACTGCTGCTGCATGTATATGTAATCGTCTGGTTTACCACGGGATCTTCAGCCAATAGAGGATCGAGCCTTGAATAGGCAGCTACGGGAGGCGACGGACACTTAATGGCTGAAAGAACACGAGTAATGATTATCAAACATGATAGGAACTACTTTCGAAAAATCAATCTAAGGCAATAATAATAATTTCGGCTAATAAGGCTTATAGGCGCCGTTTGAAATATTTGAAATTTACAGGGAGCACTGATAAATTCGGATTATTCAATTTTCTCGAGAGCAGAAGTGTTTTCGGGGCTACATTTTTAAGTGCATCAACAGGGGCATCCAAATATATGAAAAATTTAAAGAATTACTATCCATCCAATTTTCATAATTTCTTAAAACTTTGTATTACCTTTAATGTAGACGGCTGTTCCCTGAGACAGTATGGTGCCTACAGGCGCGTACGAAGGGGGGCGGGGGGTTCGGGGTTAATCCCCCCACTTGAGTTTTTTATGTGTATGTTTTGTGTATTTTTTTTATGCCAATGACTGACCTAAAAAAGGTGACCTTACCCCCCCCCCCCCCAACGAAACAAAATGTTGCGAAATTTTGGGCTCAATTTTAACCCCCCCCCCTTGAAAACATCCTGCGTACGCCACTGGGTGCCTTTGTAAACGGGAAGGTTGGCAAATGTCAGTTTAATAATACAAAAAAAATACCCCTGCACCAGAGGATTGATCTTGTGTAGGTTTATGGTTGCAATTTGGTTATTTTTTTTTTATTAGGGTTAGGGTTCGGGATAGTTTGAGTAATTAGGTTCAGAGTTTTGCTTCTATATGAGCTTTTTAAAGCTTTAGTCATCGCACCATTTTAAGTATTTAAAAGTTTCGCGTCATCAGCCCAAATTCATTGACAGATTTGTTTTCCTTCACTTTTATATATGAACATTGTAGTACGAGTATATTCTCGCGTGACAGCCGACGCCTCTTGTTCGAATATATATTACTATTATCCGGTTACTGAATGTTGCGAGTGATTGAAGTGAGCGGGCAAAAAGGATTTGTCATCAGTATTATACCATAAGATATTCGGTCATATCGTTGCCATGGATCATTTCTTTTGCGACAGAGCGAAGCGAGCGAGGAAAAAGACACTACATTATCTGTAAAATATTTTTTCCTGATCAAAATACCCCAGTTCTTATTCTGGCACTTGCTTTTTTTGATACTTTGTTTTCATGAAGTTGATTTTACTCCATGCAGATTGCTTGTATATTTGTAACATCACTACATTTCTCCCGCGGTCTCCCTTACGGCAGTGCAATTAAAAACACCGGTGTAGGATAATGGTCACGGAACAACTATCTCCGGAACATGTTTCTGTCGTACAAACTAAAATATACGATTTAGATCTTGATGATTTATTTACAAAAATCCTTCACATATAGCCATTTATTAAGCGGCCACTGCTGATTAAATGAAGTTGAGTTCTGGTCATGCGATTGCATTGCGAAAGAAACGGTGTGGAACCGACCAGAAAAGGTTGATCATCTAGCATATAAGAATTTGTGTGTATTGCAAGGTTCTGGAATCATCAAAATGATAAGAAATTTGGCCAAGTCTTGGTAAAATTACAAACACTTGCACAGAAAGATGTATATGGGACTACACGAACACGTGGCGTAAAAAACCGGCCCCCCGATTTTTACGATGTTACATGCATATTTAGAATATGAAGGCATTTGAAGAGCCATGCTTTTCAGGGAACATGTCTTAACTGATGTTCTTCCATATTTGCATAATAAGAATGAGTAATATTCACAAATTATTTTTCACCTCTTCCCAGAACTCAACCTTCTCTTTAACAGTTTCTCTACTGGGGGTCTAGTGACGAGGTATTCGATTAACCTGTTATTAATAAATGAACTGCAATAAATTGAATGCAGTTTACAAACTTTATTTGTTGCTATGTCGGGCCAGCCTCGAGCAAGCTCTCAAGTTCTCAAGAACAAATGTTCGTTAAACAGTATGCATGACATTTGAATAATTATGTTGGTAAACCGGTCTACTTCAATGACCTTGTACGTCGTCTTATGAAACATGCCAACATCACACTGCTGTATTACGTAATCTGAACATGTATCCTATGGCCATACAATGTGGTATTGAAATAGCACTTGAGATGTTATCTCGGGTGTCTTTATAATCGCTATATTACTATGACATCGATAATCTTTATGCTAACCGAAGAAATGTGTGCCGCCCATTAGCAGTACGACGATGTACATGATTAATTTAGTAATAATGAATAGTTTAGCAACTCACTCCATAGAAAACAAAATGTCCAATTTTTCAGGGAAATTTTGTTGTAAGTTGAAGTCATTGATTTCAATAATTCATAAAGATGAATTATACAGGGGCCCCAAAACTACACGACACAACTACAATATCTGTAGTAGTAGTAGTAGTAGTAGTAGTAGTAGTAGTATCTCTATACAGAGCGAATTTATTTTTCATTTCTTTTCACATAATATAAACAATAACAAAAAATAATAAAGTAATGATGTAACAAAAATGAGCATTGAAGTCTATTATTTGTAAATTTCATTTCGTTTTTTCATTTATTTCCATCTTCATATAAACACAATAGATCATTACAAAATTATACATTGAATTTTTTTAACATGCGATCATACATGTCAACAGTATCAAAGACACCAAACTTGAGAAAAGGGAAACTAAAATAAGGCCAAAAGACCTTGTAAAATAAGTTCCCGAAATGTATACAATTTTATTTTATTTTTTGTCAACTTATTCTGTTACTGAAAACATGTAAAGAAATTAAAAACAAACAGTGGATACAAAATAAAAACGACAATATATATGTTATTTTTTTATTTTTTTAAAGTCATGCATAGTCTCTTTTTTCCCTTCTAAATTCAAATTAACATGATTATAGTTTTCTTTAAATTATCTATATAATGCGCTAATTTAGATTGAATGCTTTGAGCTTGTGAAGCGCTTACCCGTGCATATGGGGTGTATGACCCAGCCAAGATCCATCCTGTAAGCAAACCCAAACAACAGTACTTGTCAGGCCATCCATCATGTATCCATCACTGCATTCCCATGTGAAATAAGAACCTGTATCGAGCGTTTGGTTCGACAAGGTTGTTATGGTGTTAGGTACGGGGTCTGGCATGGCACAGGTAGCAGATATCAAACCTGTGGAGAGGATATATAATAGGGAAATGATCTCAACTACTTTCGAGAAATCAACTCTAGGGCAATTTCAGTAACCTATCGTAATATCAATTATGTTCAAAATACTTAACTTGTCACTGTCATGCTGGCACTTTTCAATACTTGACGCACACGGCTACTGAAATTGCATTAAGGTGATTTTTTTTAAAGTTGATGCTATAAAAGCAAAAAGCAATCCCCGCCCCTAGAAAATCACAAGGGTTTGCACCGCCCCCCCCCCCCCGATGTCTTTTTTTTGGTTCGCCATCACATACCAATTGACACCTAGATAGAGAGCGGACAATTTAGATTAATGTTATCTTTTGTGTACTTAAGGTCCATGTACGCAAGATGATTGGGGAGGGGGGGGGGGTTTTTTGGGGTGAGGGGTAGTGAGCACTATTTTTTATTTTATTTTTTATATTTTTGCTCCCAAAAATTTGAAAATCGCGCCGGCCGATAATTCGCTCATTGGCGGGGGGGGGGGGGGGGGTAGGCAATTTGAAAAATCGCACCCCACCCCCTTGAGCACCAAGGGGGGGGGCATCTCCATAAAAAGGTAACATTTACTTGTTTTTACACGTTTTTTCCCCAGGGAGGGGGATACGGCAATGATTCCGGCATCTACACTGCGCCCCCCCCTCCCCGCCACCAAGTTTCTATTGTTTTAGTTGACTCGATAAAAAGGGAAAACTTTTTTTGCGTTGATTTGATTTGATGTTTATTTATTCCATATACATCACCTTTTAAACATCTACAAGCTTATAGCTTAATGTCATAATCACATGGTACATACAGAAAGATAACATAATATTTTCCAATATTTTATGTAAGTCTAATTTGTTTCTATTTTGAATTACATCCTAGGTTAATGACCTATTCCTCTCACTTTTGGTTAATTGTATTTTTTTGGTCATTATATTTCTGTGTTAACTGGCTATTTCCGCTATTTTGTAATTTGTATTGGTGTGCGTGAATGTGTGCATGAAGTTATTGTGTGCTATTAAAACTGTATGGATATATCTTAGCATGTATTTCCTTTCAATCAAGTAAATGATGTAGGGTAAATGTATGTTTTATGAAGTGCAATATGATATTACTAATAATGATATGAACTTTGATGTTTTCGACAAGACTTGATACAGATGATAATTTTTTTTCACATCTAATAATCCCACTAAGTACTGGCTACCTGTTGATTTTAATGTGAACCAAGATTTAACTAATAAGTATAACATAAATTTAGCATTCTCCACTTTAATTCTAGAAGTTTGAAGACAAATGTTGACGCTTACTGATCAGTTTATTAGTCAACTTAACTTGAATTTTTCTATATATGGTTTAAGTGAAACCTGGATTCACGATAACACAATGTTATTATTTAATAGGGATGGTTAAAACATTTTATCATAATGACAGACGAGGTAGGAGAGGTGGAGGGGTTGCACTCTTGGTTAATGATTATTTGATGCTAAAGTTCAAGACGATATTTATTTACCTGAAACTCTCTGTGAATATTTTTATTGAAGTCATATTGGATAATAGTAAAAACATCATTGTTGGCATAATTTTACCGAGACCTTAATAAACCCATTTGAGATTTCAATGAGAATATGAATGATTGTCTTGAAAATATATCTTTAGAAAATAAATCAGTTTATATAATGGGAGATTATAACATTGATCTACTTAAATATAATTCGCTTCAATGCATTGATGATTTTGTAATATTATGTACAACAACTAATTTCGCCCATCAATTGACAAACCTACAAGAATATGTAAGAAGTCTGTCACTTTGATCGATATATCTTGACAAATGTAGTCACCAAAGACATTCACTCTGGTATTTTCTATAGTGGTATAAAAGACCATCTACCTATTTTCCAAATAACCAACCTCTCTATTAGTCCTTGTCATAGACCATCTTTATTTTCTACGTAAGGAAAACGGATCCTTTAATAAAGTTTAAGTTTATTTAAGAGGGATTTATCTGTTTTAGAATGGAATGAAGTATTTTTCTTGTGATGTAGATGAGGCCTTTAATTCATTTTTAAACATATTTAAAACTGTGTATGATCATAACTTTGTTGTTCGTAAAGTGAAGAAAAGAAAACTGCCACGAAAACCTTGGATAACCCCTTCACTGTTAAATAAGATTAATACAAAATATAGATTATATAAAACATTTTGTCGAAAAAGAAACGACAGCAATGCATGTAAATATACAAAATTTAGAAATATATTAAACTCAATTTTACAGTCTGTAAGGAAAAAATATTTGTGTGATTTATTACAGAAGAATAGGAATAATATGTCTAAAACTTGGGAAGTTATTAATGATTTATTAGGAAAGAGAAGGAAATGCCAATATCCTAATTAGTTTCTAAAAGATAAGAACAAGTTAACTGATCGTCAATTGATTGTAAATGAATTTAATTCTTATTTTTCTAGTATTGCTACAAAACTAAAATCTGAACATATCAGAAACCAAAATGCAATTTTAGTTCATTTTTGCGAGATCCTCGTAGCAAATCAATATTTGTTCATCCTACCAATGAAACAGAAGTTTTGAATATTGTCAAATTGCTCAATTCAACCAAGAGCACAGCTTTTGAAGGAATAAGTCAGTTCATAATAAAACATGTTATATATTTCATTGTCAAACCAATTGTTTTTATATGTAATCTTTCCTTTTTGTCAGGAGAAGTCCCCAAGAATTTTAAAGTATGACAAATCATACCCATATTTTAAAAAGGTGATCCCCACATATTCTCTAATTATCGACCAATAACATTACTCCCCTGTTTTCCTAAGATACTGGAGAAATTAATTCATAATAGGCTCTTTATTCATATTAATACAAATAATTTTCTGACTGTTTCTCAATATGGTTTTAGAAAAATCTCATCATGTGGACATGCTCTAATTGACCTTCATGATCACATACTCAATAGATAATAAATTGCATACATTAGACTTGTTTCTTGATTTGTCGAAAGCTTTCGATTTCAACTCTCAATATGGTTTTAGAAAAATCTCATCATGTGGACATGCTCTAATTGACCTTCATGATCACATATTCAATAGATAATAAATTGCATACATTAGACTTGTTTCTTGATTTGTCGAAAGCTTTCGATTTCAACTCTCAATATGGTTTTAGAAAAATCTCATCATGTTGACATGCTCTAATTGACCTTCATGATTACATATTCAATAGATAATAAATTGCATACATTAGACTTGTTTCTTGATTTGTCGAAACCTTTCGATGTCAATAACCACTTGACAAAACAATTGCACTTTATTTGCATAATAAAACTAATCCTTGCAATATTAATGATGTACAAATATTAATAAACAATGTAAATTTTAACGTGTGCTCTTCTGTTAGATTTCTTGGGATTCTTTTGGATGATACTTTATCTTTTCAGGATCATCGATTGTATATAACTAACAAAATATGAAAAAAAAAAACCCATTAGTGTTCTTTGTAAATTACGTGTATTTCTGTCTGAAAAAGTATTCTTGATGTTGTATAATTGTTTAATTTTGCCTTACTTACATTACTGTAATATCACCTGGACCGGTGTGGGAATAACTAAACTAGAACCTCTCTATAAACTTCGAAAGAAAGCTTTGAGAATATGTAAATAATCCCATTATCAAGCATTCAGGTCCCCTGTTTTTTCGCCTAAGAACACTCAATATTTATGATACATAACATTCAAAGTGCTATTATGATGTGTAATGTTATAATAATTATGTACCTAAAGAGTTTGTCAAATATTTATCCTTAATAAATCTGTTCATTTATATAATACTCGTTCCTGTATCAAATATCATTATCCAAAGGTCTCTACCCAGTTAATGCTTTGCTCTTTTAGACATAATGGTCCCCGTATTTGGAATGATTTGACTAATAAACTAACACTATGCACAACTATATCATCCTTTAAAGTTCTATTGAAGAGACAGTTGGTCTCTTCGTATTTCCCTTAACTCATTCTTTTAACTTGTTCTACCTTACAATGTACCATGCATGTGTGTGTGTGTGCATGTGTGCGTATGGGTATGTGTGTGTGTGTGTGTGTGTGTGTGTTCATCGGTGTGTATCTATATCTTATTTATATATTGTTACAACCATGTAATCTCGTTATTTATTATTTATGTCAGGGGACTATTATACTTACAAGTTTTTCGAATTTCCTTGATTAGTCTCCAATTTCTGAATTCCAGAATTGTAAGGTTATGATTGTTTCATGTTACTTTTGTATATATATTATGTGATGGTTTTATGACTGAAATAAATGAACTGAACTGAACTTAACTAATTGAACATAATGGACATGGTAATAATTATAACTAAACATAAAATATAGAAAACATAATGTACATGGTGATAGTTATGACAAAGGACACAATCCTATAAATCAATCAATAAAGTGGGGGATCTACTAAAAAGCAAAGCTTGTATTATGTAGGTCCCAGTTAATAGTTTGTATATTAATTAGTATCTGAATTAACATAAGATATTTACAAAATCATATGATTACACGAGGGTTATCTTTAAGTGACACAATTTACTAAGCATATCGTAAACAATTGAGACAAAAGGGAATAGTTCTGTGCTTTACTCAGCATAACCAAATATACATATACATTTAATAAAATGATCAGTGTATATTTTAGCACTACTCGTGTGGAGAAAAAGAATAATTGCAAGGAAAAACAATTCAGAGAAGAGAACAGGTACCGAAGGAAAGATGATTAACGAGAATGGAAAGTAACAACAACAAAAAACGGATGAAGAAGAAGAAAAAGAGCAAAAAAAAATGAAACAAGGGATAGAAAGACAAGTGAGAAAGTTCTGAACAATGGGGAAGAAAAGAAAAATGGAGAGAGCTAGAGGGAGGGATTAACATAGGTATAAAGCCGTCTTTGACCAGTGGTAGAGAGTGTGGTGAGTAAAT